CACTGTATTTTGTTATAATGAAAGTACTGAGTGTCTCTGATGACCTGACTAAATCCTGAATAGACTCAGGGTCAACCAGAACAGTTTTGTTGTACAAGCGCACATTTTTTTTTCTTTGGAGTTTGTATTTTCCCTAAAATAGTTCCCTATTGTGACTCAAGAGATTTATTTATTTATTTATTTATTTATTTTGCAGGGGGGCAAAGTGGGTTTCAGGTGCTTCACCGGAGGATGGAGCAGATTGGAGAGCAAAACGCTTCGGTACCTTGGGCCTGTACTGTGCATCCTCCCGTTTTTCTCTCTCTTTCTTTTTTTTTCCTCTCTCCCTCTCCTCGGCGCTCACACAGGCCTCGTCCTATCCGGTGTAAAGACTGGACGTTAGGCTCAGTCAGTCACTCTGATGTTGCCCCGGGGTAAACAGAAACATCTGTCCCCTGCCCAGCCGTGACTGTCGCTGAGTGATAAATCCTGGGGTGGCCTGTGCCAGCGCTGTCCAGTGTGCCACCTGTCCCCCCAACTCCTACACAATATCACCAACACAACTTTCTCTCTCTCACACACACACGTCACCCTATTTGCACTCATCTGCCTATATGCTGACAGTGTGACAGAAGCAGGTGGTTCACTCCCTTTTTTGCCCTCTGGTCTTCTATGCTCTCGTCCTCGGTTGGCACATTTATGCAGGGTGCAAGCAGGGTTGTCGCCTCCAGCAAGTACCAGTGGAAACATTGGTGCGGCAGGTATTTCAGCGTTGGGTCTCTAGAAACTCAAAATGCCTATTGCTCTTGTTTCCTTTCATCAGGCTGCAGATCTAACAGCCTCTCACCAAAACACGTCTTTAAATATAGCTTTTACTTTGTCGAGGATGCCATGAAACAAAAAAAAAAAAGTCTTCCGAGGGATTTCTTATTCTATGAAAAACAAAAAAACTTCTCAGACATGAAAACTTCACACGCACAAGAGTTTTATGGGTCTCCTCTCGTGTCTCCTGCTACCACTTCCTCTTTCTGCTTAACTTTACTAGTGTGACAGAGGCAGGTGGCCAACTTCCTGCCCTTTGACCTTCAACAGTTTCCCCGAAGTCAAGAGGCAGTTAAAGTGCACTCTCTCACACACACACACACACACATGTACGCACAAACTTACACACTCTTGCACACACTTAGGAGGGGCCTAAGTTGCCCTGAGTGATCTGGGCCAGAGGTCTTGCGCACAAAAAGCCCCGGAGGGAAGTGAAGGTCTTTCGACTCAAACGATACTTTTGTGCCTGACTTTATCAGCTAAATGATCTGCTTTTGCCAAAAGTTCAATTAATACGAAAGGAATTTCCTTTAGTGCTCAAGTGTAAAATTTTAAAAAATTGTTGATATTGCTAATAAAGTGCTAATAAAAAGCACATTTTTTACTGTCTTAGTCACATTTTAGCTGCTCCAAAGTAGGTAAATTTTTTAAAATATCAAGGACAGTCACACTAAGTGATTTAGATAAATGAGTAGTTCCCAAAGTTGATGTGAGGACCCCTCTGTGGGTTATAAAAAAAATCTATTTTGGGGTCCGACAATTATTTCCAGGAATAAAATCAGCTTTTAAAATGACTATGAGCAATATATTTTGCCATAGAAGCTAAAAGGTTTAAAGTGAAAGTGGATGTATTGTCATAATCAAATGTGCCCATACAATGACAAAACTTGCTCTCTGCATTTGACCTATCACACGTGAGATACACCCAAGTGGAGCAGTGGCAGCTATTTAAATATGAGCCTCTTGCCCAAGGGCACCACAACATATGGCGATGATGGAGAATTGAACCTGAGACTTTGCAGTCCGATGTCCGCTGCTCTGCCGCTGCACCACAGCTGCCTCACAAAAACCACACAAAAATATCATTAAAATAGTTTTGTAATGCTAGGAAATTCTGCTTCTTTTTTAGCTTGTTGTTTGTGGAGTACCCCAAGGCTCTATACTCGGTCAACTATAATCCTCCATTTAAAATGCGTTCAAATAGTTATGCAGACAACACACTCCTTACAACTTAACCACAAAAACAATTTTTGCTTTTGAGTACCTTAAAACACTTTTATATTTTTTGGCTGAAAGTTGAAAACATTCTTTACCTTCATTGCTTTTGATGCTTTTGTGACTTATTTTTTATGGTTTGGTTATATTTTAGTCATTGTTATGGAAATATTTATTTAACAAAGAATGATCAGCTGAGTTTTATTTGCAACAACAGGAACACAGAGAGCAACATGGAGCCATCAGACTGTCCCCCTGCTCTCTGCTCCTGCTTCCCTGCTTCTCTGAGGCAGTTGAGGCCTCATATATACTGTTTAACAAACATTATTTTGTCATCTTAATAAAGCAAGATTAAATACTAAGGAAATACTAGGTCAAGGGAAAACAAAGAAAAACAAGTGATATCTAAGAATGATTGTTGTTGTTAGCAAATCTTGTTCTGACTTTAATCATTCTATCTGCTGATAAACAGCATGTCATGAAAACTTAGGTCATTAAAGTATGTCATGAATTACTGGCTTAAACCTAAAAGTATTATTTCCATTACAGTCACTTTTAATTCATACAGCAGTTTAATCAACAACAGTTGTTTTAAATATTTAAAAATCCAAATTAATGTCTCTAAATTATATATTTTTTCAGTGCTGGATAAGCTGAAATGCTAACTGAAGGAACCCCTTGTCATTTGTCCATTAGTTGGATTGATTTTGCTCATTTAAACAGTAAATTAAAAGTTTGTCTGTAAAAATGTAATATTTTTTATATTAATATAATATGTATGTATCAAATTACGCTCAAATACGAATAGTTTTTGGCTGTGTATGACTTGCATGTTTGTTTGATCCCTACATGTGTAAGAAGACCCCTGCTGACTAACGTCACTTTATGTTGTTGTGAACTGGAATGAACACCTCTGATATCTGTAATGTGTGAAGAGTCTCAGCTTGGTTCTGTTGTCATGCTATAATAGGCTATTACCACTGTCGCAATTTGGATTAACTTCACTACTGTTAAAAACTAACGGAGGGGTATTTTTTATGTGCAGACACACACAAATAACAACAAAAAAGGGGGTGGGTATATCTATCAGACCGGGCCTCTGTGGTCGATTAATTTCACATCCAGCACATAATGTGTTGCTTTTATTTGTCACAACACTTGTCATTATGATCAGTTACAGCTGCTGTTTTCATTGCATTGATGCTGTACGGAGAAAGGGTCCATTTTTTTAACCCTTTGACAAGAAAAACAACATTTGCTACGACTGAATACTGTCATTTACTGGCTGCTTTTATAATATTCTCTTACTTTGAATGCTCAAGTGCGTATATTTCCAAGCAGAGAAGAGGTCTGGCCTTGCCTTTTTTTTTTTTTTTTTGCACACGCGGACATTTTATTTTATTTTCCCCAACTGTATGCAGACAAGGCTGCCCTCGCTCTGTGTGTCCCTTTGTCTCCGCCGCTTCCCACCGAGCTCCACCTCTCCCACCGCCAGCCCTCCAATGAGCGAGCCTTCAGGTGTTGACCTTATCGGGTGCAGGTCAGAGCCAGGTCAGGGATCTGTTGCCAGGCTACCATCAGATAACTGGCTGGAGCAGGCAACAGTGGGCCGCTCTGTCATTCAAGGGCTTGTCATGTAATCTTGTTCATTTGCAGACAATTGTGTGGACCCCAGAAAGGCTATCTGGCCCATAATGTTGTAATGAAGCACATTAAAATATTAAAACCAGCCATGCTGAGCATTGGCAGCTCCACTTGGCGCGTGTTGCTTTTTTACAGTCATGCCAACTGCCATGCAGTAACACGAACCCCTTAAATACGCTTGTGTGGTTGGATGTGTTGAAATTTTCAGAGCTGAAGAGGACAGGCTTGTATTAGCTTTTTTCTATTGCCTACATTATTTCCCAGTGTTTATTTAACCACATAGAGCTTTTTTATTGTTTGTTGCGGCAAATAAGTACAATACTAAAACATGGCATTGTCACAATGCAACAAGATACAGTATAAATGACAAAATTACACTTTGTAATTTAATAAAACATTATTAGCAGTACCTCAGTGATACTTGAGTAAAAGTACAAGTATCTTATCATAAAAATGCTTTGGTAAAAGTGAAAGTCTTCTCTAAAAATATTACTTGAGTAAAAGTCTTAAAGTGTCTGATATTTTTTTGTATTTAAGTATCAAAAGTAAATTTCTGACACAAGATCTACTTGTATCAAAAGTAAAAGTACTGAGTAAAAGTGAGCAGTTAGATTTTCCAAAGTGACATTTATTGGGACGTGACTTCTCCAAAAAATATTTTTTCTAACGGCGTGCAGCTGTGATGGGTTGTGTACAAGCTAGGGTGTCAGAATGGTATATATTTATACTTCTCATCCAACCACAATTAAATTCACTCTATCGAGGAGACACAATTTATCAGGATAGTGTTTTTTTAAAGGGGCAATATCATGTAAAATCAACCTTTTTGAGTCATCATGTTATAATGTTATACTCTCATAAACGACATGCCTAAAGCCTTGCTTTGACTCATTCACGCATGTTTGAGAAATCCTGCAGCGTTTTTAGGAAGCCATGCTGAGGAGCAAAACGACAGGTGGGGACCAGAAACATCTTTTGGGACCAGAAACGCCCCTGGGACGTGTCTTTACGCCGAACTTTCTCATGGCAGAGCACCCACCCTCCTCACATACCCCACCTATGACTCCTGCAGGCTCTCGGGTGAAATTGAAAATGAAACTTAAACTGTCTGCTGAGCTCCACTACTTCTCACTCAGTGAAGCTCTTTTCAGATTCAAAATACCTTTGAGGAAATGTATTTCCAGATGCCAAGTAAACTGCAGCTCAGAATAAAACAGGAGTAATGACTTTCTACTTCTTACCTTTTTAAAAAATGTAGTGAGTAGAAGGCACAGATAATTCTGTAAAAATGTAATGAGAAAAAGTAAAAAGTACACTGAAAAATAATTACTCAAGTAAAATACAAATAACCAAAGTTTTTAATTAAGTACAGTAACAAAGTATTTGTACTTTGTTACTTTACAACTCTGTTTATTAGAACTTATCATCTAAGAAATTACAGCATTTCTGTCTTAAGTGAAAAGAAAGAAGTCTTTTTTTTCTTGCACATGAACAAATACAGATGTACATCCATGACTCATGATGTGTTCAGGGATACAGGTGGGGAGTCATGGTGTTGTTTGCTAACCCACAACCTTTAAATAGAGTACAAAGAGTGCTAGAGTTGTGTGTTTGAACAAGAAGACGGAGACAAGAAGGAGGGAGGGAATGAAAAGAGAAAAAAAAAGGCGAAAAGAGAGCGAGAGAGTTGTTGCGTCTTCACACAAACATGGTCTGTTCTCCCACTCTGCCATTCCGCCACCTGGACCGAGCTATGTGGGAGACTGCGCCACACAGTGATGAAAGACACCAAACAGAGCAATTTCTGTTCACACTGCGGGTCATATGGAGTGAGACGAGTTGACACGGCATCTGTGCCATATCACGGGTTCCTGTTGGGTGACACCTGCGTTTTGTCATCGTCACCCGCCTCGGCCGATTAGGTTAACTGTCGGGCCCTGCGAGAAAAGTGGCCTTCCGAGAGCAGGACCTCAGACGGTCCGACACGAAGCGACGGAGATAAGGCTCGTGGCAATTTGTCCACGCCAGTCCTCGTACTGTAGCTCCAACGTGGGATCTCGTCTGCTAGATTGGCGCTTTGTGAGGAGAGGTTGTTGAGGAGAGGGCTCAGTGTCTGGGCACTTGCCAGCTGACATTCCATGGAGACAAATTGAGAGAGAGAGAGAGGCTCCAGCAGATTTATCGGGCCATTGGCCCGCCTCAGGAATTCTCTTGTAACACGGCACTCCTGTGAAAGGGATAAAGAAATTAGTGTAAAACAGCACTGCCACCACACCTCTCCTTGCTCTGGCAGTACTTTAAACCTACTAACACACACACACACACACACACACACACACACACACACACACACACACACAC